GGTGGAACTGCACTGTGCTCTACATGGACAAAGTCTCAAGAAGAGCCCTCTTCACACCGCCGTCTCCAGAGTGCTTGGGATTGTGCCAGCAGGCTGTTAAACTTGCCTTGACTATTACCAGACCAGAAGAAACATTCCTTAGTTGTGTGGAGACCAAATAGAGTATTGACTAACCAAAAAAAAATCTGTGGTGCCATCATCCTAGGACAGGACTAAGCCTGGGTCTTGTCAACCAGGTTGGGTTTAGGTGACCCCTCTTTGGTACCCAGAGATACTGAGAGCTGAAGTCCCAACCAGGTGTGGTCTGTGGGGAGGGAGACAGACAAGGGCTGGCAGGATGGTTCAGTGGGTAAAGGTGTTTGCTACACTACACAAGTCTGGCAACCTGAGTTCAATCCTTGAAACTCCTGTAAAGTTAAAGGAGAAATTGATTGCAAAGTTATCTTCTAACTGCCATGTGTGTGCCACAGCACATGCACACACACCCCCAACACATGCACAAAACAAACAAACAAACAAATAAATAAATAAATAAACAGACAGACAAATGACTGAACAGACAGACAGCGTTCTGGCTTGTACAAGAGGATTGCTTTGAAGTTTATGTGAATTTGGGGGTCACTCTGGATCACATAGTGATTATGAGGCCAGCCTGGGTGACTGAGTGAGACTCGGTCTCAAGAACCAGCCCTCCCCCACCAACAGGCACACACATGGACTCTGTGCATTCTGTGGCCCCTTCTGTCTTAGGTTGAGCTCCTGGGAAGCAGAGCTTTGCATGCGTTTACTAAGAAAGAGGCAAGCTGCCTAGGGGGACTGCTCTGTAGTATAATCAAGGCCTTGATAGCTCCATGGAGAATGTTCCGGGCTGGGGTCGTCCTCTAAAGATGGCTCATCTTAAAGCAAGGAGGCCAGGACTCTCCCCACATCAATCACTGGAAATAAACTGCCCCACTTTGACAGGGAGCATGACCTTGGCCAGCCCCCATCAGCACAGAGCCACTCTGGGGAACACGGCAATTCCACGGCCTTCTGACATCACTGTGCGGTTGGGACAGTGGCTGTCTCCATCTGGAAGGACAGGCTGTACCAAGCACCCAGGCACCCTCTGCAACCCTGCACCTCCCTCTTTCAACTCCAAGCCTAATAACAGTTTTCAAAAAGTGAGCCAAGTTTGCGTTAGCAGAGAGGCCAACTGGGAGTCAACGGTGACATTTCTCTGAGGGCTCAAACTCTTACCTAGGATGGATTTGAACAGGTTTTCCCCTGCTCCCAGACTTCCATTTTTGCTATTGTTTGTTTGTTTTGCTTTGGTCTTTGAAATGGAGTCTTTCTTTGAAGCCCAGGCTGACTTTGAACTCACGGCAACCCTCCTGCTTCCACCTTCCCAGTGGTGGGATGGCAGGCAATGCGCCACCTCTCTCAGCTCAGCTTGCCTGTTTTTTTTTTTTATTTAGGATCTATTCTTATGAGGCAGATGAGAAGATAAAATGACCTGAATTTTGATGGAAACCTGTGGGGTGATTAAAATAGAGAAACCACACGTGGGTTCCTGCACTGGCAGGTGTGCAGGTAACAGGAGCCTGAACCCCAGAATAATGCTACCCTTAGGAAAGTTGAACTCAGACCTGCCTTTACCAGAGCTGGAGGCCATTGGGTGGCAGGCCAGGTGACAGATGTCACACCCTGGAGAGGTCCCTTTGAGTCTTATCTGTTGGCCCACCTGGTCTGATGGGGAGGCAGGTGGTCTTCTGGCCTCCTTGCCGCTCGCCATCGAAGCTCCTGCCCCCAGGAAGTCTCAACTGCCCCATTCATCCATGAGAGCCCCTGAAGTATCCCTTAAGTTATCAGGGCCACCTCCAGCATCAGGAACATCTGTTTGCCCACCCACAAAGTCAAATCATGCCTTCCTCCCCAAACCCACCTTTCTGGACATCACTCCAGCACCTGCTCTGACTGCTCTGCCTTTCAGCTGCTTGTGCTAGACCTTGCAGCTGGACCACGTGACCCAGGCTGACACCTGTCTTTGTCCCCCTCACTCACTCGCTGTAAGCCTCTTGGGTGTGAGGAGGAAGGTGGGCCGTGGGGGGGGGGGAATGAGTTTCTTCTTCTTCTTTTTTTTTTTTTTAATTTTCCGGAGCTGAGGACCGAACCCAGGGCCTTGTGCTTGCTAGGCAAGCGCTCTACCACCGAGCTAAATCCCCAACCCCTTCTTCTTGTTTCTTGAGACAAGGTCTCACATAGCCCAGGCTGGCCTCAAACTTACTGTGTAGCTGAAGAGAGCCTTGCGTTGATTCTCTTCCTCTTGGCTCCATCTCCTGAGCACTAGACATAGGCTAAGCCAGGGCTTTGTGCATGCTGGGTGCGCTGGTGAGTGTTTTTGTCAACTTAACACAAGATGGAGTCTTCTGAGAAGAGGGAACCTTGATGAGAGAATGCGCCCATAGACTGGGCCTGTAGGCAAGCCTGTGGGGCATTTTCATGACTAAAGATCGATGTGGGAGGAGGGCCCAACCCACTGTAGGCTGTGTCACCCCTGGGCAGGTAGTCTTGCGTTGTATAAGAAAGCAAGCTGTGAGAGCAATCCAATAAGAGTGTTCCTCTGTGACCTCTGCTTCAGTTCCTGCCTCCAGGGTCCTGCCTGAAGTCCTGCCCTGCCTTTCCCTCATGATGGACTGTTGAGTTGTAAGATGAAATAAACCCTTCTTCCCCAAGTTGCTATTGGTCATGGTGTTCTGCCATAACAGCAGAAAAGTAACTGATACACTAGGCAAGCGTTCGACCAATGAACTACATCCCCAGCTCAGAAGTTGGGTTTTATTACCAGAGCCCTCTACAGCACAGGTTCCCAAAGAGGACACCGACCTGGGGGAGTGGGGCTGGGTAAATATGCAAATGACCATGGGGGAGGGTCTTATTTCACCACACCCCTCCCTCAGGTCAGCACAGCTGGGAATGACAGCTCCTGAGGGTCCCTGTTGACTTGCCTTTGCATGCAAGTCCTGCAGTCTGCCTGAGCCAGCACTTGGCTGCAGCTGCAGGTCTGGGGCAGAAGAGGAAAGCTGGCCTGAGTCCTGGTGATGCCATCCCATGGCACAATTCCTCAGAGTGCTGCCTAGAGCCAACAGCATCATCAGCACCTGGGAACTCAGAAACGCAGGTTCACCTGTAACACTATCACTCAGGAGGTGGAATTGGGGATATCAGGAGTTCAAGGTCATCCTCTGCTGCATATAGAATTTGGGGCAAATCTAGTCTATTTAAGACTCTATGTCAACAACAACAAAACCAGGGGCTTGGGGTGATGGCTCCATGAGTAAGAATACTTTTTCTGAAACCATGAGGACCTGAGTTCAAATCTCCAACACTCACAAAAATCTAGGGGAATCTGCACATGCCTGTAACCTAAATTGGAGAGTGGGCACCATGCCTGTAACCCCAGGGAAGACAGACAGAATTCTGCATGAAGACAGGCAGATTCTGAGCGGTCACTGACTGGCCAGCCATCCTAGGTAAAGTGGCAATCTTCTAGTTCAGTGAGATACCCTGTCTCAAGGTAATAAAGTGGAGAGAGATGAAGGAAGTTGCCTTATGTCCTGCTCTGGCCGCTGCATGTGTGTGCCCACACATTCAAATGCACATACCATACATGCATAAACCACACTCCATACACACGCACATATCATATAGTTAGATCTTATATCATATATAGATTCAAACAAACAAAACCCAGAGCCCTGGCACATGCCTTTAATCCCAGCACTCGGGAGGCAGAGCCAGGCGGATCTCTGTGAGTTCAAGGCCAGCCTGGGCTACCAAGTGAGTCCCAGGAAAGGCACAAAGCTACACAGAGAAACCCTGTCTCGAAAAACCAAAAAAAAAAAACAAAAAAAACCCAGAGCCCAGGAGGCCATCTGTCAACCCAGAGTTCAGTCCACAGGTGATTTCTCCCAGCAAAGCTGACAAAATCCTAATGGCCAAAGTCAACAGCTCCTCTTGTCCCCGGGAAAGCCAACGAACAGATATATCCCCAACCAGCCCCCAAGACACAAGCCGACTCTGCTCCTTGCTAGCCTCAGCCAAGAAAAGGAGCAGAAAGAATGGTCGGGTGGACCTCAGCTGTGTCCTTTGAGTGCACTGAGCCTGGCTTAGAAGTCATCTCGGGAGCCTCTAGTCCCCTCCCACCTCTTCCGCAGGACCTTGGGTAGGGAGGGCCCACTATTAGTTCCAGACACCAGGGCTCCTCGAGTTCAGGGCCTTTTTCTTTGCGTCTGCTGTGGTTCTCCCTGGATGAATGCCTCCTTTCCCTGGATTTACAGCAACCTCTCTCCGTGGGGTTGATGTCACTTTAATGAGAGTTACAGCTGCCTTCCACTGTGACTCTGCATTCCAGTTTATGGCCTGGGCTCTTGGAGCCCAAAAGGGCTTCTCCCTGGCAGGGAAGAAAGGCTGCTGACCAACTCTGATCTGGAGCTGGCTGGCTTCTCGGTTGATGCAGAGCAAGAGGGAGAGAGGGAAGGAGGGAAGAAAGGAGTGTGTGTGTGTGTGTGTGTGTGTGTGTGTGTGTGTGTGTGTGTGTGTGTGTATGTGTACTTAACCTTACAGGTTTGGGGAAAGAGAGCCCAGAGCTTTCTTGACTCCCTGGCCCACCCCCACCCTGTGGGAATCAAAGCTCTGACGTGGTGGACCGAGGGCAGAGGAGGTGGGGGCGTTCACAGAAAGCCTCTTGTTCCCTAGTTGGATCCAGATGTGGTGGCTGGAGGAGTCGGGAGGGTGTGAGGGGGGGTGCTGGAGAGAGGTGGAGAGAGGAGGAGGGGAGCTGGGGAACAGTTCCCTGCAGGAGCCTGAGCGGCTCTGGATCCCTTCTCTCTGGAGCTGTATTTGAAAACAAAAGCTGTACCCCAAATCAGTCTCCATTGTCTCTTGCTCATAAAATATCAGGCACTATGGCCAGTAGACCAAGCTGTATGGAAGAGCAGAGCCATTTCTAGGTCACTTACCAGGTATGTCTCTGTGTGGCCAAGGCCTGAGACTTCGTGGACCGTCCTCTCCACTACAGGCTGAACTGTGGAAGCTCACCCAAGGCTCTGGCCAAGAGGCAGAGCTGCTAGCTGAGGGACCTGGGGTATTAAGTACAGTACTTTATTTAATTCTCCTCACAGCCCATTTTAGGTTATGACTAACATAAGAAAAACTATATGCAAAAGTACAATAACTATATACAATACATATAAGTAATAAATACCTAAATAATGTCTAGTCCATTTGTATTTGACAAATTCAGAGAAAATAATTCCATTATCTATCCTATTTTGGTAAGTCCAAAATGTATCTAATTCACTTTCTATCCTAATTAATCTTCAACTATAACTAACTAATCTTCAACTCCCTCAGAGATCCAAGAAGGAAAATAATATTACCTAATAAAAAACAAAAACAGGAAGTGCATGCAAGCAGCTTCCAAAAAAATTGTGAGTTGACAGAAACAGCCAGCTGCCTGGACAGTCACCTGAGGTTTCTCCACAGTGTTGGGGCATCATCTTCAGCCTATAGGCTTAGCGTATCTGACAGACTCATTTGTGAAGTAGGATGTACACAAGGTCAATAGTTCGAACTCACATTGGGTGAGGGCAGTCCTTGTACCAGAAACACCTGAATTCCACTAGTGTCATGTCATAATTCAGGATTTTAAATTCTGGAAATTGTTGATGGTTTTTGAATTCAGCTGTCCATTCTTCTTGGCTGTGTATATGTGTGTGTGGCTTCATCTCAGCATCCCGTTCTTCTCTACATCCCTCTATTAAATGCCAGTCTACTATTGAGAGGCATGAGCTTAGTTACTCTTCAAGAATAACTGTTTCAGCTGCTGTTCCATTGCACATCAGAAGCCATCGGCCCACTGCCTGTTCAGCTGCCTTTGAAGAAAAGGGCACTGTACCTTTTCCGAATTGCGAAGGCCTCTTCAGGGATGGTGCCATATTGTCCTGGTCTCAGAAGATGCCTTTTGATAAAGCCATAACCACACTTGTTTTGGCAAGAATCGGTAGTCCTTTGTTTCATGTCCTGTCTGTCTTGTTTGTCAGCAGTTGATTCAAGGATACTTTGTTGTCCAGTGGCTAACTTTTGCCACAATGAAAGTTAACTCCATACGCAGTTTCTTCAGTGCCCATATTTTCTCTGAAGTAGATTGGTACTGCCAGGAGCCGACATGTCTTATAGTCATAACAAAAAAGAAAAATTTTCTAAGTTATGAAAACATTTTAAATGCCATATTCTGTAGATCTCTGAAGGGTTTGAAGATGACCTGTCTATCTAAAATATATCTGCTCAATTTTGAAAACATACCTAATATGACTACAAGTTCTATTATAATGTTTAACTACTAACTTTCATTTCTTTATATCCTAATAGTTGGTAATAATAACATTCAAGGATCAGAAAATTGCATTACATTGTTTACTGAACGGTATAAGCACAATTAGAAATATACATATAGCATTTTCTAACAATATCAATTTCTATATATATATATATATATAATATATACAATATATAGGGTGTGGGTACATGCCTATAATCCCAACACTGGGAGATGCAGAGGCAGGAGGACCAGGAGCTTAAGGTTATCCTCCGATGCAACCTCTGAGGCCAGCCTGGGCTACACAAGACCTTTTCCCCAAAAGACGGCTCAGCAGGTAGACGTGCTTGTGGTGCAAGCCTGGTGACCGGAGTTCAGTCCTGGGACACCCACATGAAAGTGTTCGAGGTGATGGAGCGTAGCTGTGATCCCAGCACCCTTCCAGCAAGGTGGGATGCAGACTGGAGAATCACCCAGATGCTCACAGGCCAGCCGGCCTGGAGGACACAGCACAACAGAAACAAGAGAGACCCTACCTCAGCAAGGCCGAAAGAAAGCACCGACTCCTGGAAGTTGACCTCTGACCTTCGCGCCCACCCTGTATCATTCATAGGTCATGCTTTCTTGCATGTGCTTACTAATAATGAATTCAATTGAGTTTTTTTTTTAAATCACGAATGAAACATTGTATTGACAATAGGAATTAGAGGTTGGTTAAGTCACTATTCCAAAGCCACCCAGCTAGACGGTGGTAGTCACTGCTCAGTTTCGTCCTGTGTGATTCTTCAGCCCGTTATATACCAATTTTGAAGCTCTAGGACATGTTTGTCTTTGAAAGGCCAATTGATACCAGGTACCAATGCCAGAAATCTGAATTTCATTCCTGGACATCTATTTTGTTGTTGATATTTGGGGGGGGGGGTGTTTATTAGTTCTGAGACAGGGTCTCATACCCCAGGCTGGCCTCTTAACTCATGGCAATCCCCTTGCCTCAGCCTCTCCAGCACTAGGATTACAGGTGTGAGGTGCCATACCTGGTTTTGTTTGGTTTTCCAACATGTCTATGTAGCCAAAGCTGGCCTTCAATTTATAATGCTCCATGCTTCAGCCTCCAAAGTGCTGGGATCACAGGAGTGCCATCACACCGAGCTCCCAGTGGTCCGTCCCATAGGCTGGAGACTAGCGCCTAGGAGTGAGACCCTCAGCTGAGTTCACTTCTGAGTTGACTTCCACTCCAGGCCCTTGGAGATGGGAGGAGTTCATGATGAAGAAGGAGAGGAGCTACACCCAGGAGAACACAGGCTGAAGGCTCTCCCAGAAGCTGTGGACGCCCACAGAGGAGAGGGAAGGGCCCGTCCTTGCCCTGCCCCACCTCCCCATCTCCCCACTGCATTACCTTCCCAGAAACAGGAAGTCCACAATCAGGTCAAAGGGCACAGTGAGAGAGACACGTGCAGACCTCAAGACTGCCAGCAACTCTGAGAACCAAGGGTGGTGTGTGCCCAGCAGGATCTCCAGAATGGGAAGCTGTCCTGGGGAGTAAGATGACCTGGGTGTGGCCCTAATTCTGCCATACTCACCTATGGTTTTTGCCCAAAGCCTGTGCCCACTTTCTTCCTTTGTAAAGGGTGGGAAATAGTAGCCTTATTTCCTGGATCAGGTGGAAATGAAGTGCTTGCTCTAATGTTCAGGATGGCACCAGCCAGGGAGGGATTACTCAAGAAATGTCAGCAATGGCTGACATTCCTCTTCTGCCATCACCCATGGCAGAGCTTAGTCCCCTTATGGATCCTTTCGGACGAAACCATACCATTCTCCCAGGTCTCCCAGACCTCTCATTCTAGGGACCCAAGAGACCATAGAGGTATTAATTAACAAAACCTCCAGACAGGTCCAGACGGAGAAGGAGCCTCGTTAACGTTAATTGGTACCATCAGATCTTCACCCAGTCAGGATGGAGCATTGCATGCTGGGACAGACTCTCTGCCCTGGGGGTTCACAATCTGCCCAGGACTATGCACCCAGAGTAGCTGAGATGGAGCAGACAGAGAGGGATCCCCTTCCTTTTCCCACTTGTCACGGGGCCAGCATGTGAGCAGGGCAGAGGGGAATGAGAAGGAAGCATGGGGTACCATTGTGTACGAAAGGGTCAGGGTCGTGTTTATGTTCTCAAGCACAGCCATGCTATGGACACTCGGCTGAATGCCAATGCCAAGGACAGTGCTCGGGAGGAGATGCCAGCTTCACTGTGACTCTTAGACTAATTTTTAATGAGCCCAGAGAACCTGATTAAAATGCCCAGTCATGGGCAATGACCTCCATGGCTGAGGTCTAGGATCTTTTTTATTTTTTAATTGGTGCTGGGGATTGAACCCAGAGCTTCACACATACTAAGTACATGTCCTCCTGCCCATCTACACTTTGGACCACCAGGAATGTGTTTTTATAGGGTTTGGGTTCTTTTTGTTGTTATTTTGTTTGCATTTGGTTTAGTTTGTTTGGTTTGGTTTTTGAGACTGGGTCTTACCCCGAAGCCCAGGCTGGCCTTGAACTCATGGAGTTACCCCCGCCACAGCCTCTACAGTGTTGGGATTACAGGTTTGAGCCACCTTGTCCTGCTTTGGTTTTGAAACAGACTCTCTGTAAGTAGATCAAACTGGCCTTGAACTTCAGATCCCCCTGGCTTCCTGAGTGACCAGAGTTTACAGAACTGTGCTTTAAATCACACAGGATTGGGCTGGGGGAGCAACTGCGGGGGTACAGTGCTGGCTGTAGAAGCATGAGACCTGAGTTTACATCTAACATCACCCACAGGATAACTAAGCCGGAGCTGGGTATGGTGGTTCACACCTCTGATCCCAGCACTCCACAGAAGGCAGAGTTCAAGGCCAGCCTGGTCTACATATCGGGATTCTGGCTAACCAGAGTTGCATGATGAGACCATTTCTAAAAAGAAAGAAAGAGCCGGGCGGTGGTGGCGCACGCCTTTAATCCCAGCACTCGGGAGGCAGAGCCAGGCGGATCTCTGTGAGTTCGAGGCCAGCCTGGGCTACCAAGTGAGTCCCAGGAAAGGCGCAAAGCTGCACAGAGAAACCCTGTCTCGAAAAACCAAAAAAAAAAAAAAGAAAGAAAGAAAACTAAAACCAGCCATAGTGGCATCCATCTATAACTCCAGCACCCTTGAGGGAGAGGCAGGCAGGACTCCCAAGGCTCTCTGGCCACCCTGTCTAGCTAAAACAGCAGCAAGCTCTAGGTTCACTGAGAGACCCTGCCTCAAAAACTAAGGTCGAGCGAGATATCAGAAAGATGATTCAGTAGGTAAAGGTGCTTGCCACTAAGCCTGATGACCTGAGTTTAACCCTTGGAACCCACAACGTGAAAGAAGAGATTCTGACCTCCACATAGATGTCATGCATGTGTGCACTCCTACACAAATGACAAGTAAATAAATAAAGTAGAGAGGAATAGAAGACATCCAGTGTTGGAGTCTGGACTCCACATGGGTGTGCCCGCTGGCACACACATACTCAAATACAATAAAAATAAATCAGTTACATGGGAATGGTGTTTGTCCACTATCGGTGCATAGCTGTGTAAGTATTCAAAGAATGTTGACGGGTGGAAGGAGGGAGAAGAGGGAAGAGGCATGGGAGCCAGGTGTGACAGCTCACACCCACCTGTCATCTCGTCTCTTGGAGGGGGAAGCAAGAAGGCCAAGGAGTTCAGGGCTAGCCTCAGTTACTATCACTCAGGCCAGCTTGAGTTAGGAAAGACCTTGTTCTGGTTTTTGTTATTAAAAGCAAGTAGACAAGAAAGAAAAACCCAAAATGGGTGAGGCTTAGCCTAGTGTGGTGACTCAAGCCTATAATTCCAGCATTGTAAAGGCTGAGGCAGGAGGATCACTGTGAGTGAGAGGCTACACAATGAGTTTCCAGGCAGCCTGAGATACAGTATAAGACTGTCTCAACCAAATAAAACAGAGTCTATGAATGGTTCTTCATTTGAACACAAGACCTGCCTTCTTGCTACACCTGGTGGTGCATATCAGCAAGCCTGGCTACTCTGGAGGCTGAAGCAGGAGGATCATAAATTAAAGATCAGCCTGGGCAATTTAGTAAAGAAGTTATCTCAAAACAAAAATTAAAATATTAGAATGGAAGCTGGGAGGTGATGGCACACGCCTTTAATCCCAGCACTCAGGAGGCAGAGGCAGGTGGATTTCTGTGAATTGGAGGCCAGCCTGGTCTACAGAGCAAGTGCCAGGACAGCCAGGGCTACACAGAGAAACCCTGTCTTGAAAAAACAAACAAACAAAAAAACTTGGACTGGTTCAGTGGTAGAACCCTTGTCTAGCATTTGGGAAGCCCCAGGTTCAAACCCTAGTACAGGAAGTGGGGAGACTTGCTTTCCTTCAAAAAGTTGCTTTCGAGGTCAAGATGTACCCTTCATCTCTGGTGCATTCCAGTTAGCAACAGGCACTAACCATTCACTATTGATATTGCAAATTGCTGTCTAAATTCTAGAAGTTCTAGTCCACACAGAGGAAACCCCACAAAGTGGCTTCTGACCTCACATCTATTGGAGGCCAGGAAAGCCTCCAAAATTTCTATTTGCAGGAAAATGCTAGTCCACTCAAAGGCTCGTGACTGATTTCCAGAGTTCTGGACCCTCAAGCTTCATGCTAAGGATGACCCCTGCCAGAGCGTTCTTTGCTCTGTGAGTCATTGTCACTAGCATGAACTGGGCAAAGGTAAGGGAGGCACCGGGGAGGGTCTGTTCACTAGGGAAGGCTCTCTGGGCTCTGCCCCAGGAGCGGGAGCGAAGGCCGGCTCCACCCAAGGTCTTGAGTTTGAAGGCTGCTCTGGTCTATAAATTGTTCTCAGGTCAGCTTCAAGGATGGAAATGCACTTTAACAGCTCTGACTTCAAAGAAGAAAAACTAAAAAGTGAATAAAAAAAATTGGAGAGCTAGTCATTGTATGGATGAGATAGATACTCGGCAGCATTTTGGAATGGCAGTCAGAACCTGAGGCCAAAAACCGTGGAGTCAGATTTGGGCTCAAGGTCTCCTGCCTGCGCATACTCACATAATCTGTAGTACAGCCTTAGGCAAGTACATTCCCTCCTTTGAGCGTCTATGTCCTTTCCTAGCAAATGAGTGACGCTATCTGCACCTGAGGCTTTAGAAGAATTAAGAAAAAAGTGAGAGCTGGCAAGAGGGCTCAGTGGATAAAGGCACTTGTCACCCAGCCTGGCAGTCTGAGTTTGGTCCCCGGGGCACATAGAGTAGAAGGAGAGAACGGACACTCAGTGCTTGTCGACACTCTGATCTCTGTGTGCCTACTGTGGCATGCGTGTGCATGTACACACACACACACACACACACACATACACACAAACACACACATTTTACAAACAAAATAAACATAATAAGCAATTTTTTTTTTTTTTTGGTTTTTCGAGACAGGGTTTCTCTGTGTAGTTTTGGTGCCTGTCCTGGATCTCTCTTTGTAGTCCAGGCTGTCCTCGAACTCACATAGATCCGCCTGCCTCTGCCTCCCGAGTGCTGGGATTAAAGGTGTGCGCCACCACCGCCCGGCAGTAATAAGCAAATTTTTAAAAAGCAGAAAATAAAATGAATAAGGCTAAATCTTAACATGCTTTGTCACCATTTTATTTTAAAATGTGAAATATTTAGAGGGGGTGATTTGAAATTACAAACAGGACACACACACACACACACACACACACACACACACACACACACACACACACTTTTTGCTTTTTGTTTTCAGGACAGTAGACTGACCCCAGGGTCTTGTGCATGCTAGCCAATCACTCTGCTACTGAGTTACATCATTAACACTCTGTGTGTGTGTGTGCGCGCGCGCGTGCGCTCTTTACTAGCTGAGCTATCTGCCCAGTGCCTTCCCCCAGATCTCTTTTTACTTTTACTTTGAGGTGATCACTCACCAAGTGGCCCAGGCAAGCCTTGCACTTTACATCCTTTCAAGTAGCTGGGACTACAGGTCCACTCCACTAGTCCTGCCTTATAATATGATAGACACTTTTTTAAAGCTAAATTTGAGCAGGCATAGTGACACACACCCGTAATCCTAGCACTCCATGAGGCAAAAGGACAAAGTGTTGGAGATCAGCATGGGCTACAAAGCAAGACCCTGTCTAAAAACAAGATCAAAATGAAATCCTTACACACACGCACAGAGCTGGAGCTGGGTATGGTGGCACACAACTGTAATCCTAGTACTTGGGACATACAGATAGGGGCGTCATAAGTTCAGAGTCATTATCAGCTATGTAGTGAGTTCAAAACAAGCCTGATACAAGAAATGAGGAACCATGTCTGGTAGTGCAGGTCTACAATCCCAACTTCCAAGAAGTTTCAACGTCAAGGCCAGTCTAGACTATGTAGTCAGACCTTGTATCAAAAGGAAAATATACACACTACACCAGTACCTGGAAACACGTATTTGAATTAATATTAAAGTCAATCATGGTGGCTCATACCTGTAATCCAAGCCTTGGAAGGAAGGCTGAGGTAGGAAGATTATTGTAAGTCTGGGGGCTACAGAGTGAGTTTCCCATCAGCTTGGCTTAGCATGAGACCCTGCCAAAAAAAGAAAGAAGAAGAAAGGGAAAGAATATTGAGAAGAATAGAACAGAAAACACAGACCTGGCAGTGTTAATTTCATAAAAGCCACAAAATTCAAAAGATAATTTGAAATAAATATTAGTCAGGTTTAATTTCTCACAAAGGACCTAAAACCATCATATGCATTTTTAAGTTTCTATTTATTACTAGTATTGGGATAGGGTTTTTGCGTGTGGGGGGTCAGAGGACAACTTTCAGGAGTCAGTTCTCGCCTTACATCACTCAGGCTGTCTGGCTTGTGCAGCAAGTGCCTTCACCTGCTGGCCATCTTGAAGCCCAGTTTTTGGAGTAGGCTGAATAGGCAGAACACACAGGGGTTTAGAGAGAGAAACCATATGACAGTGTAATGGTGCATTCCTCAAAACCCACAAAATGTATGCTGAGAGTCGGTTGTAATGGAAACCATGGCTTTGCATGATAAGGGCATGTCAACACAGGTTCATTCACTAGCTATAGCACCCAGGTGGGGCTTCACTCATGCTGGGGGACTCTACCTATGTGGATGCAGAAGGGATTTCGAAAACTGTATCCATGCAGCTCCTGCGTAAGTTGAAAACTGCTCGAAAAACTAAAGTCAATTTTTTGTTTTGTTTTGTTTTTGGTTTTTTTTGAGACAGGGTTTCTCTGTGTAGCCCTGGCTGTCCTGCAACTCACTCTGTAGACCAGGCTGGCCTCGAACTCACAGAGATCCACCTGCCTCTGCCTCCCAAGTGCTGGGATTAAAGGCGTGTGCCACTACTGCCCAGCGTGCTAAAGTCAATTTTTAAAAATGTTCTGGGTTTTGGTGGCATTAGGAGAATGAGGAACCTTGTCAGGAATAAAGGAGTGGGGGGAGGAAGGGAACCAGGCAAGGTTGCACATACTTGTAATCAGAGCACCTGGGAAGCTGAGGCAGGAGGACACTGTTACAAACTGAAGGCCAGCCTGGAATGTTTGAAACCCTCTCTCTGTCAATCTCTCTCTCTCAAAAAAAAAAAAAAAAAGGAGGAAGGGGAAGAAAGAGAGATAAAGATAGCTAGAGTAGTTCTGAGATGCTGGGCTTGGGAGAAGGTGTTTCCTCTCTATCAGAGGAGGAAGTGGACCCTGGTCCTCCCTTCCTGCATAAGGCTACAACCCTAAACTCTCTGGCCTAAGCCTCAGTGATACTATCAATCAGATGGGAGCTGGAGATTCCAGGACGGGAAAAGGACCCACAGGAAGCCAAAACAGGAAAAAGACAAGCTGAGGGCTCTGGGTGGACTAGTTCCTCTCCAGGCCTGACCGGCTCATGCTGGGCCCTTAGATGAAAAGACAGAGTCTCTGTCCCAAGGTGTAACATGAACATTAATTTTGCAAGATCACCAAAAACTGGGCTTAAACTCCATGAGGTTTTTGTTGTTGTTGTTGTTGTTGTTGTTTAGTAATAAATTTCCTCTGGGCTTCATCATAAAGCATACTCACACATTGGAAATGTAACAGCACAAGGCGCGTACACACACTTTGCCAGATCGATTCTCCTGCAACAGGAAGACTGTTGAAGGTCTCTGCTGGTGCTCTGAGCATGTGTAGAGAGAGGACAGGCCTTTCCTATAAGAACTCTGATAAGTGCCCTGGTAATGGGATGGTTGGGGCACAGAGGACAGGATGGTCTCGAGTGACACCCGCGTCCTTGGTGGTCCATAGAAATTTCTCTGTTTCTTAGGCACAGGAGAAACTGCTATCATAGGACAGCCTGAGGTATTCTGTTATGATGAGGTGTCCTAGCCTGCCCTCGGAGGGGCCTATTCTCTGAGGACCTCATGACCAACACGATCCTGAGGGCAGATATTGGGCCGAAGCTTCTCTCCCCATCGGGCAATGTCAGACACACAGGGCTATGGAAGCACTCACTCACTATTGAGAACCTTTTGTACAGGACACCATGCTGGACATGAAGGGGACAGACAGAGGAGCCACATCCGGGACACAGAGACTTGGAGGGAAGAGGAGGGAGTAGGAACCCTGCCCGGAGACTGCTGAGCTTCAGGATGCTGAGTGTTGTATTCTCAGAACCGCAGGGAAGGAGTCTCACCATAAACAGGCCCACATGGGAGGTTTATTGAGGGGAGGGGGCAGAGAAGGGGCAGAGACTGGTCCCTGGGGACTAGAGTGAAGGAAGAGAAAAAGAGAGGAGAGCCAGGCAGGGCCTGCATTTTATAAGGAAAGCACGAATGCACACAGCGGGTGCTCTCAGTGGCCGCAGCTGAGGATGTATCCTGTCAGGACCCTAAAGGCAGCCCAGTACAGATGCCTGAATACTAACACGGGGTATCTAAGCAGAGCCACCAGAAGCTGTTCTGTACCCTCTGGTGTCAGATCTCAAATGTTGGGAGCGATCCTGACAACAGGACACAGAGGGTGACAAGGACCTGAAGAACTCCTAACAGAGGCATCTCAGAGCGTCTCCCAGTATGGTGTCCCCCAACTGCCCAAAGTAGAGCCAGGCATTGACCTTGACCCCTCCTCCTTATTCCCTGCCCCTCCCCACCCAAAGAAACGTCAAACCCTACCCCCAAGGCTGAAGCCTGACCTCTCTGCACCCCCACTGCCACCACCACAGCCCAGCCCACCATCACCTCCCATTGGATGGCTACAGTCCATCTCCCAGGTGTCTAGAATCGCAAGTCTGGTCATGTCACCCCCCTGAACAACACCTTTCAGTGACCCGCCCACTGCTCTTAGGAGGAAAACCTAGACCTGGAAACTCCATTTCCTACGAGGCCCAGCATTTCTTGGCCCCTGCAAAATTCTACTGAATGATTTTGGGCAGCTGCCCTCTGTCGTCATGCCTCAGCTACTTCGTGAAGTGTCTGGAAAGCTACCAGACTCGGCACCACTACACAAGTTGAATTGCTCACTTGGTGACTGGAACATCCCCTATGCCCATCAATCCTGATTCATGGGTTTTTTAAGTTTACGCAAGATTCAACAGAGCCTTCCAAAACGACTTCCTGGTCCAGGCCAGTCTCCTCTGGTTCTTTATGTTACCAGTTACAACATTAAAAGGTTTGTTTTGTTGTAATTTTTTTTAACAGTTTACTGTGTGTGTGTGTGTGTGTGTGTGTGTGTGTGTGTGTGTGTGTGTGTGTGTGTGTGTATGTGTGTACTCCACAGTGTTCATGTAGAGGTCAGAGAACAACTTCCAGGAATTGATTCTCTCCTTCCTCCGTGCAGGTTCTGGGATAGAACTCAGGTTGGCAGGCTCAGGAGCAAGTGTCTTTAGCCCCCTCAGCCATCCCACTTAACCTCACTGTAACTTTTTTTAGAAGGCGCTGGTTCCATCTTGAGCTGTGGAGCCTCTGTACCTGTTGTGACCCACTACTGACTGCATCCTCTGCTTGTGACAAAGGGACTTGCCCACCTGTGTACCTGTAGCCTGACTGTGGTAGAAATAGAACGGAGAAACTAGCTTGGAGGGGAGGCAGGACCTTCAGGAGTCCTCAGGCTTCCAATCAATGAGCTGAGAGATCTGCCTTCCTTTGTAGCTCTGGATGATTCAGGTCTGAAAGCCATCAGATCAACCTGCGGGCCGACCCCCCCTGCCCACCTCACCCCCCACATCTGGTTTCCCATCTGAGGATGAACAGCTGTCCCTGACATCGGTCATTTTTGTTTTCCACTCTACACTGCCCACTGTTGCTCCAGCCTGTTTCCCACCGCACCCTCAGTGGACGGAAGTATAATCAGGTGATGCCGTAAACCTGATTTGTGCTTCTCCTCAGGCAGCGAAGTCACTGGAGCTTTGTAGGTGGTCTTGAGACACAGAGAAAGGACTGACCAAGCCCATCCTGGAGTCTCCCTCAGACTCAAGGCACAAGTGACTTGCCCTATCTGCAAGCACCCAGGCCAGGCTGTACTACAGTTCGAACTCAAGAGCCGCTGGGGAGAAACAGCAGGGAGAGCTGTCCCCTTCCCGTCTCCTGTCCCACAGACAAGCTGCCTTGCAAGCTTGCCCCTCTCCCCTCACGGGTCACTGCCTTGAGCTTCCCCTTTCCTGTCCTGTGGGCACTTGTTTACTGGTGAAGACGAGACAGCAGGGTGATGTGTCCTTCTTGTCAGACCAGGTAGAGACCCACTCAGACCAGGTGGAGACCCACTCAGACCAGGTGGAGACCCACTCAGACCAGGTGGAGACCCACTCAGACCAGGTGGAGACCCACTCAGACCAGGTGGAGACCCACTCAGACCAGGTGGAGACCCACTCAGACCAGGTGGAGACCCACTCAGACCACAGACAAAGAAGATTGCCTTCTGGAGTTTTGGTCTGCTTTTAGGGCTCCCAGGTAGTATGTACCAAGAAAGACCTGAGACCTGATCCATCTGCAGACAAAAACTACTGCTGAGGGCGAGTACAAGGCGGGAAGTCATGTGTCGTCAAACAGATTTAGCATTTGGTACGATGGTCATAAATAATAAATAATAGCTTTCTTTCAGTGAGCCTGGACCACTAACACATTGTGAGCCATTTTCCTACAGACAACTTTTCACTTAATTCTTAAAACAACCCTGTGAGGGGGCTGGGGAGATGGCTCAGAGGTTAAGAGCCCTTATGTCAGATAGTTCACAACCCCCTGTAACTTCGCTCCGAAGGGATCGACCCAACGCCTCTGGCCTTTGTAGGCACTTGCACTCACATTGCATGCACAGATCTGCACACAGACCCACCCACATACTCATAATTAAAAATAATAAAAATAAACCTTTAAGTGAGCTAAGCATATATGTACCCATTTTACAGATGAAGAAAGAGGCTCAGGGAATCACCTAGCTTGTGAGTGGCCAAGCTCTGGCACTGAGATCCTAACGTCCTTTCTGAGGCACTATTTATTGGAAACTCAGAAACGGCTTCCCTCAGGCTGGAGATGAGAAGGGGACAGAAATCTGTGGATGGCATGACACACAAAGACGAGACATAAAGGACTTCCTGACGATGAGGGCTGTTAGGTTTGTAGTCAGGGTAATTAGAGCTGTGAGGGCTTCTCCTCCCAGGGCCTTGAGAGTCCAAGATGAATGGACACCTGGGTGGTTTGTGGAAGGCGGTTAGTTCCCAGCGTGGAGCTGGCCTGTTTAAACGGACAGCCTCTTGCCCATATAAACCGTTAGATAAGAGGAAAAGATAGCACGGGGCGTGAGCTCCTTCAGGGCTGAAAGAAAGTGAATGTTGTAGACCGGCAGATGCTACTGTGGTTAAAAACAAGGGCTTTGTGGTCTGGCAGCCTTGCTCAAGCCGGTGCTGGCTCAACTACCTGTGTGACCTTAGGTATATTACCTCTCTAAATCCGGGCTTGTTAGGCAATACACAGAGTCTAAGAATAGAATGTACTTGGGAGGGTTATCCTGAAGTTGAATAAGACGGTATGGATATAAAATCTGTGGCACAGGACCTGGACCTGATACTACAATGAAGCGGGTTGATAACATATGCCTCTCATCCTGACACTCCCGGGAGGCTGAAGTGGGAAGACTCATGAGTTTAGAGTTAGCCTGGGCTACATAATGAGACCTTGTCTCAAAACCAAAACAAAACAAAGATTCCTCCAATGACTGGTAGCTGTATAATAATTACTGTTGCAGTCCAGAGGCTCAGGAGAACAGGGCATATTCAGGTAAGCTGGTGACTCAGAAAGTCTTGCTGGGAAAGCTGGGTTTTTTTTTTTTTGTTTGTTTGTTTGTTTTTTTTTTTTTCCCAATCTTGAAGACCTGGTGCAGTCACCAGAAAGACAGAGTTATGGCTCGTGGAACAGGTTATAAGTTCCCTGCCGTTTTAAAAGACATGTCAGTTTTGATCTATAGCTGAAATAGAGAAGGACTCTTCATAGGGAAGAAAAGTCTTCCATCTGTGTTTCCAAACCATAGAGTCTGAACAGAGATACAGAGAGCCTTTGCCCGCTTCTTGGTTCTTGTTGGGGACTTGGGGGAGGTTCCAGGGTCTGGGAAGATTGCCAAGGACAGAAGTAGTGATGGATGGGACAGGACCCGAACCAGGGGAAGTTAGGAAATGTGGGTGAGGCCCCTAATGACTGTGGGACTGACTCATGGGGGCAGCCCTGGCTTGAAGGCTTCCTTGAGATCTAGCATCCTGTCAGGCAAGAGGCCAGCCTTGAGACCCCAGGCGACTATGTCTTCAGTGCTGTCAGCTCGGACTGTAAGACCCCAAGGAAACAGTCCAGTTATTGTCTGGCAGTCTGCCCCAGCTGCCCAGGGTGAAAAAGTCCTCAAGACAGAGGTGGCTCCCCAAGAAAGATGCTGTTCGTTCTTGATGCTCCACATTCAACCCTCTGTCAAGTACCGAGCATCTACCAATCTCTGTAGCGCCACACTGGACCTTGTTACCAGTACCAGCTCCCTGTCCTTTCCCTAGAAGTCTGAACCCATAGGTTTAAGTTCCTGGGAGCTGTGTTTTAGCAAACATCAAAGTGATATCTGAGGTAAGGCAAATTTGAAAAACCCTGAGGGAGATGAACTCTCAAGTCCCCTTCAGTCCTATATGTATGCCAAAGGAAGGGCTCACGCCGGCAACGGTGGATTATGTGCAGGGGACAGTTTCACCCATCTGCCCTCGGGACCCCAGAGACAACAAGGCACCTGGAATAAACACGGTGGCAATGGACAGGAGGAACAAATGGTTCTGAGCACCCCAGAGGACCTTATCTGCATGGCCTCCCCAACCTCCTCTCTGTTCACCAGGGGACACAGACTCAAAGAATTTTTAAAGTATGCTCGCATGTCACCAAGCAGGCAGGAATCCTACTCCCCCAGTCTTCATTTTGTTGGAGTGTCTGGCACAGCAGAGCTGTCTTTTTGTGGCCCTTGACCATGAAGCAGGAGTGTGGCTATCGGGTGTCCCCAGTGGCCTGGAATCTATCATTTCCCTGGCTCTGTTCAGTGTATTAGAGGAAAGAGCCGGGCCTTGGGAGGTGGGCTAGGCTGGAGAAAGGCTGACTAAACTCGGGGAGGAGAGGGAAACTGCCTAACGGCCCACAAAGTGCTCCCTGAAGTTCGCATCCAGATTGGCGGGCTCACTTATCAAAACAGCGCACACCTGATGGATGCACAGACGGCCCTCAACCCCCAACTCCACTCCCCGACCTAGGAAAAGACAGAGTGCGAGGTGAGGCCTGATTTTTTTTTTTTTTCCAGCCGCATTTGAGAAATTCGCTGTGTCAGAGAAACCAAAAGACTAAGCAAAACCCCTGAAAATCCAAGCCTGATTATTTCATCCACGTGGCACCAGAACAAGCCAGAGGGGTGTGGGGGGGGGCGGGGGAAGAGTCACCCGCCCCGCCCTTAACGGGAGGAAGGGATTTGCCCCAAGCGCAAACTCCCGACAAGGCCTGGCCGGTGGCGGGGCGCGGCGGGAGGGAGGGACCCAGAGAAAGCCAGCGTCGGCCGGCCACAAAGCGGCTGAGCCGCGGTCCCCAATCCCCGCCCCTCTCTGGGCCACGGCGGTCCCTTTAAGGGCCAAGAGGTGCGCGGTCTCTTTAAGGCAGGTCCTGGTGGTTTCTGTTTTCTGAAGGAAGTGACGGGGGGTGGGATTGAATGAAAAGTGCTGAACGGAGTCGGGAGCTCAGGAGTCCGGGCGGCTGGGGCCGCGGCGATCGGGGGGACACGCACGGGGGGCGCTGTCCGGGACTCGGGGTGCGTGGCTGAACGCGGCCCACGTGCGTTCGCCGCACGTCGTGGGGACCTCGGGGTTGAGACGCCCCTCCTGAGGAGGCGACTTGCCGGGAATCCCTGAACCGGACCCCTTAACTTCGAGCGAACTTTGCAGACGCGTCTCCCCTCCCCCACGCGGCGCGCCGGGGCCCCCGGGGATGCGGCCCCCCGGCCGCCGCGACGTCCCCTCGGCGCGCCCCGCGCTGCCGCTCCTGCGGCCGCCGCTGCTGCTGCTGCTGCTGTCGCCGCTGCTGCTTGGGGCGCCGCGCGGCGTGGACGCGGGGAGCAGCGCGCCGGCCGAGCTGCGGGTCCGTGTGAGGCTGCCCGACGGCCAGGTGACCGAGGAGAGCCTGCAGGCGGACAGCGACGCCGACAGCATCAGCCTCGAGCTGCGCAAACCCGACGGCACTCTCATCTCCTTCACCGCCGATTTCAAGAAGGTGAGGCACCCTCCCTGGTCCTGTTCCATCCCCGCCCCACCCCACCCCCGGGGAGGGAGGCTTTCGAGCTTAACTGTCGGAGGTCTCAGACACCCCCAAGCCTGCAGAAGAGAAAGGCAGCGCGGGAAGGGGGACGTGACTTGCCCAAGGTCACGCCAGGCTCCTCTCTGTAACGCTCCAGCACCCAGATCCGGGGTCCTTTATTCTCTTCAATGAACTCCTGTGCTAACAACCCCTCCAGCCTTCTGTTACTTGGCTCTGAGTAATCAAGGCCCCTCTCATGCACTCACTGATCAGCTCCTGGGTCTGCTTCCTTCTCGGCACTCCCAGCTGATACTCCGACAGAAGTGCCCGTTAGCAATGCTTCCCTTCTTGCAACAGTTTTTCTGTGACTGCAGGGGGAAATCCACAGGTGGCATCGGGGACCTTGGCCCGCCCTGTAGCTGTGAGTGTGGTATGAAGTTAGGTCCCTTTCCTTTTCTGTACTTGGCAAGGAAGTGGTTTTAAGACCTCCAGCCCTGGAGCACCATTCCGGGATCATTTTCCCTGCAGAGCTGTCTGTCCCTGGTCCCGCCCAAGGCTAGGAGAAGCTCTCTCCTCTGTGACCTGGAGGGCTGGAACGCTTGGGGCTAGAGGAAGACCTAGGAGGGGTTGGGAGAGGGAAGGGGAGGGGAGGGGAGGGGAGGGGAGGCCTCTTCACTTGGAAAAGGTGGTCAGTGTCTCAGCCCAAGCCTGGCAAGGGCTAGTGAGATCCACAGTTTTGCCTCTCTGTATTCTGTCTGTCTGTCTGTCTGTCTCTCTCTCTCTCTCTCTGTCTCATGAGGGTGGGGTGCAGTGTTGTGGAGGGAGTCAGAAGAGAGAGAGAAGTGCTAGGATTATCAGGAAATGGAACTGGGGGGGGGGCGGTGCTGGGCGACAAACAGTGACCCAACCACAGAAACATCTTGAAGAAAAGATGTATAAGTTTTTGGTGAAGGGCAATTCCCTCACTCCTGTCATCTCGGTGCTCAGGAGCCCAAGATAGGAGGAACACAAGTTCAAGTCTAGCCAGGACTATAGAGTGAGACGAAACCCTATCTTGTGGGGTCCAGGGGAGGACTCTTCTAATCATCTACTCTCAGCTCTTCCCCCTCTAAAAGGAGGCGCTGTGCCCCTCTATCTTTGGGGGGAGACAGACATAAGGCATATTAAATAGCTAGGCAGCAGAGAGGCCCCAGTACCCAGTAGCCCCCACTCACTTGCTTCTGTGAAACTAGGAGTTATTTGGAGAGCTTGGGAGGAGGGGGCAGAGGATGGGCAGCCAGCTAGAGACCCCATGAGATTGACGTAGCTTGCAGAGGTGCAGAGGAGATCCAGCATTGGGTGGAGTAGGGGTGAGCCTGGACCGGGGGTGAGGCTGGACTGGTGATCTGGCCCAGGCCCAGGGAGTCATCTTGACAGAGGACTTAGCGGAATGGTAGCCCATGCTTGCCACACAGGCTCAAGCTGCGATCTTAGATGCTAGCTAGTAAGGCAGATGACCCTGCTTGTCCACCTGAACTTTAGGAACATTTTATCTGTGGTATTCTGGGCTTGGAAGACGCAAATGGAGGCGGAATCAATCACGAGTGGGGATCTAATCTCTCCTCTAAGCCCTCTGACCTAAAAGCCAGCCACAGAATGTACTGTTAGTGTCCCACCCTCCTGCCCAGTGGCCCTGTGGGGTGATCACCCCGGAGCCTTAAAGATTTATCCATCTCTAGGCAAGACTTCTGATAGCCAAGCTGGGCGGGGCGTGAAAGGCAGGACTGGAATGGAGCTTTTCTAGCCTCTGGCTCCAAAAGGTTGTTATTGCTCTGCCGTGAAAGGAGACCAGGGCAGAAAACACAGAGGCTGTGACGGGTGGTGGTGGCCTGCCATGGGGGTTGGACTGAGCGTGGGGTTGGGGACCTCTGGCTGCACAGTTGGAGGGAACATTCAGAGTTGATGGCAAGAGCTCACTTTAATCGCCACAATGGCTCAAACTTTCACCTAATTTTCCAAAGTCTACTTTTCAGGTTAGCCGCTGACACAGAACTGGCATTTCACACCTGCTCCTGGCATCTCCAGTTTCATGTGTGGGGGGTGTGGGGGGTGTGGGGGGTGTGGGAGTGTAAGTCCCAGAGAGTGGAAAGCCAGCTATCAGAGGATTTCTAGGCTCTTCTTAGGCTCAGGACATGGTGGAGTCGGGTACATGGGGACCAGGGAGGACAGTGTTTAGTCTATTCCAGCGTGTTGCTTCTACTGGCCAGAGCCACTCTGTGCCTGGTCCTTCTCCCACAGGGTGTTTGTTGCTCAGTTCTCCAGGCCTTTTTTGTTAGATTTCCACTGGAAAGCTCTGCCTAGAAGTAATGATGTTTCCTGTAGAAAATGGCCCAGAAGTTGTGTTTTTGTGTACCATGCCCATTAGGGGCTGCTTTAGGAAAAAACAAAAATCCTAAATCCTTTTGGGACTACTCATGTTTGCCGTCTGATCACCATCGGGGGAGACGGTATAGACTGAATGAGACAAGTCTGGTTTACCACCTGTGAGCTGGTCAACCTCTGGTCCAGCTATTTGGTCTCTCTGGGCCTGCATCTCTTCACCTGAAGGATGTGTTAATATTGGTGCCTGGCCTGCGGTCATGGACAGAACTGAACAGGGAGCAAAGTGCATGTAGTATGCCGTGTCGAGTGCTCAGGACATGAGAAACCCTCCGCTCCGAAGCTGTCTCACCCCACCTTTCAGGCAGCTTCCTCCCCGTTCAGCTTGGATGAAAGCGGTTGAAGCGTAGGCAAGAGATCACAAAGAAATGAGCCTGGAAATGACGAGAGTCCCTCCCTGTCACCTGTTTTCTTTCTGTCTTGGAGACAAGGTCTCCAAATACAGTCTAGCCTGACCTTGGCCTTGAACCCCTGTGTGATCCAGATTACTCTGAAGCTTTTGTTTTATCTTTTTTTTTTTTTTTTTGAGACAGAGTCTCACTATGTAGTATGACAAAAGTCTACTTGGGGAGATGCTATACACAGGTCTACTTACCCCAGAGAGAATCCATGACAGACCAAAGTATAAATAGCACCAAAAGCCCAACTTGGTGAACCAGTGAATTTTATTGGGATTCCTTAGGAATACGGGTGAGGGGTTATTTACAAGAGCAGAAATGACTCAAAGACAGATGTATCACCAAGGTGCACCCCAGCATGACTGACCACTCATAAAGCTGGGAAGCTGGAGTACACTGCACAGCCTGCAGGCCACTCAACAGGTGGGAGAGTGACCTTTCCGGGTGCCTCGGTTGTTCTAAACTTCTTTCAGGCAGTTCCTCTGGCTTTTGCTTCTCCTAGGCAGCTGGGCTGGTCTTAGTCTTCTTTGAAGCACAGCTTTTATTGTTTACCCTGGCAAGGAGGAGTCTAGTGAATCTGGTCAGTTTCAGGGACTTCCTACAGCTGTTTTGAGTTGCTTAACTTCCTTCCAGGAGCTTCCCTGCAGGATGGACCGTTTCACAGTCCCTGCAGGAAACTGTTACACAAGACTAGCCTTCAACTCTTGATCCTCTTGTTCCAACTCACAGTCTCGAGTGATAGGATTAGAGGTGTGAGCCTCCAGTAACTACCACCTTCTCCTGGAAGCTGCTGGGTCAGTGGCCAGCCAGTGCCCGCTTCCTCACCAGGGCAGCAGTCCACCCTGGCCCAAGCGAACTCAAGGCTTTGTGACCTCCTGTGCAGGAGGGGTCCCAGCTCTTACACCCCTCCTTCTCAGCCCTGCCTTCCTTCCCAGGTGGGCACCCAACATTGACTATTCTTCTCCATGCTTGCACCTTGGCCCCAAAGCTGGTAAAGCAGTCAGTCATCAGTGTGCTATGGGACACTGGAGCCCAGACTTGAGCAGATCCCATGAGCAGCATGGACTGGTACATGGCTGTCCTGTGTCACCAGGAGCCCTTCCTCAGGCTGACACTCACCAGGCTGACTGAGCTGTAACTCTGAAAGAATGCCAGTAGGATATATGGTTCAGTGGCTTTGAAGAGTCATCTGGAAAGTTTGCAGGCTTCCCATACCTGAACGGAACCCCGTCTCACCAAATCAGGACATCTGAACACGAGAGTCAGGCACGGGGTTCTTTAAGTTGAGTGCCAGCCTGGGCTATGGGAGATCCTGTTTTAAAAAGGGGTGGGGTGGGATGGCGGCTTGTGGATGGGACTCAGTTGATAGTATTTTGCCTTCCATGCAGGAAACCCTGGGTTTGATTCTCAACACCACATAAATTGAGCCTGGTTGTGCACATCTGTAATTCTGGCACTTGGGAAGTGGAGGCGGGATGATTAGTAGTTCAAGGTCATCCTCAGCTACATGGTGAGTTCAGGACAAGCCTGGGCTACATGAGACCCATTTCAAAAACAAGCAGTGTGAATCTGTTGTTCTCCCTTTGCTGACTCTAGTTCGTTTTGGTGCTGGGGACTGAACCCAGGGCCTTCTGCATGCTGCTGCCTGAGCCTCACACCCTTACACCCCCTCCCCACCCCAATGTGCTGTAAGCAGCGTTTATACTTTGGGCCTACATTTTTATGCCCTCCACATAGGAACTCTAACTCCTGATACACACAGTGAGTAACATTCCTTGTCACTCCGAGACTTACATATATCATCTGACCTGTGTGTATATTGTCACCGAACACAGTAATGCAGGCATGCCACCACCCCCAGTCTCTCTCTGGCTGCTTATCTGTCAGCCCTCTTGGCTCCCTCCCCCATGCTATCTCTGTCCAAGCTCTCTGTCCCCCTGTCTGAATGTCCAAAAGCAGGGGAAGGAATGAGTCACGTCCCAAGCAGCCTGCTTTGGGGCTGGCCACAAGGGGAAGATGGGGTTGCAAGATATGAAAAACGTCATGTGTGACTGCACCAGGGTGGTGGGGATGTAGGAAGAGAAGAAGGACTCCCACTCCAAAAGTGAAGAAGAAAAGGGTCCATTAGGCTGGAACCTGGGAGGGAATGTCAATATCAAGAGCCACACAGTGCTGTGGCTTGACTCAGGGTTACTCTAAGGGGTCAAGAACCCCAGGGAGATTAGAAACTTGCTTTCTGTCCTGGGTACCAATGGGTAAGTGGAAGCCAGAGGAGAGAACCATCCAGAAAGCATCAGATTCCCTGTCCCAGGATCAAGGGTGGGGTTCCTGTGGGATGTAGTCAGTGAGGATCTGCAGTGTTTACATGGACACTGTCCCAAGAGAATGTCACATCACACACGTGTAGAACAAGAAGAGAAGGTTTTAAGGTCCTAAATCCTACCCTGTCTGTGCTGGGTCCTCTATGGTTTGGCACAGAAGACATGCCATAGATTAGAAATCTTGGGTAGCAGAGGACAGTTTAAAAAAAAAGTACTTTTGTGGTTTGGGTGTGTATGTGTGTGCACAAGGGGTGGGTGTATGCATGTTCATGTGTGTACAGATGCATGTTGGAAGCCAAAGGCTGACATCAAGTGTCTTCTTCACTTTCCACCCTATGGTTTTGAATCAGGGTTCTCTCACTGAACCTGGAGCTCCTGGATTCAGCGAGAGTAGCTGGCCAGTGAGCTCCGGGGATTCTCTTCCTGCCCAGCACTAACACAGGTAGTGTGTGCAGTCGTGCTCTTTCCACAGGTATTGG